TACCAATCTCTTCCAGTTGGTTGGCTAGGTAGCTCCCTTCCAAATTTCTTAGCATAAAAGAGTAAGTACTTCCAGTGCTGATTCTGATTGCTAAAACATCTCAATGAATACTGGAGCTTTGTTTTTCCCCCAATTCTTTCACTGCAGCTTGGACTTCTTCCTTCAATGGCATGGGTAATTGATCATATGCTACCTCCTGAAATGGCTGAACATCCACTAATTCTTTTTGGTACAGGGACATATATTCCTTCCATCTTCTTTAGATGCTTCCTGTATCATTCAATATTTTGCCCACAGAATCCTTCAGTATTGTAATTGAAGGCTTGACATTTTTCTTCAGTTCTTTAAATTTAAGAAATGCTGAGCACGTTCTTCCCTATTGCTTTTCTAAATCAAGCCTTGGCACATTTCATTATAATACTTTAGCCTGTCTTCTCTAGGTGCCTTTTGAAATCCTCTTTTCTGAGCTTTTATTTCATCATTTTTTCCATTCACTTTAGCTACTCTCCATTCAAGAGCAAGTTTCAGAGTCTCTTCTGACATTCGTTTTGGTCATTTCTTCCTTTCCTGTCTTTTTAGTGACCTTTTGCTTTCTTCACATGTGATGTTCTTGATGTCATTACTGGTGTTTAGTGTGTCAAATGTATTCTTCATATGGTCCTTAAATTCAGGTAGGATATAATCCAGGTCAGATTTTGGCTCTTGTGGACTTAATTTTCTTCAGCTTCAGCTTGAAATTATATACAAACAATGATAGTCTGTTTCATAGTCAACTCCTGGCCTTGTTTTGACTGGTGATAATGAGCTTCTCCATTGCCTCTTTCATCAACAGACATAGTCAATTTCATTCCTGTGTATTCCATCGAGTGAGCTCCGGGTGTATAACCACTGTTTATGTTGTTGAGAAAAGGTATTTGTAATGAATAAGTCACTAGTCTTGTAAAATTCCATTATGCAATCTCTGGTGTCATTTCTATCATGAATGATGCACTTTACAACTACCAGTGATTCTTCTTTGTGTGCAACTTTCTTATTCCAATCACCATAATTACCAATACATCTTGATTACATGTTTGGATGTTTGGTCAATTTCAGACAGTAGAAGTTAGTAAAAACAAACAAACAAACAAAAAACCTTCAATTTTTTCATCTTTAGCTTTAGTGGTAGGTGCATAAATTTGAATAACAGTAGTACTAATTAGTCTCCATTGTTGTTAGGTGCTGTCCATTCGGCTCCTACAGTGGCCTCACATACAACAGAACAAAACACTTCCCAGTCCTGCGACAGCCTCATAATGCTTGCTATACTTGAGCCCATTGTTGCAGCCACTGTGGCAATCCATCTAGTTGAAGGCCTTTCCCTTTTTTGCTGACTCTCCATTTTTGCAAGCATGATATCCTTCTCCAGGGAATGGTCCCCTCAGACAATATGAAAAAAGCAGGTGAAATGAAGTCTGGCCATTCTCACTTCCAAGGAGCATTCTGGCTGTTCTTCTTCCAAGACAGATTTGTTCCTTCCTCTGGCAGTCCATGGTACTTTCAGTATTCTTCACCAGCACCACAACTCAAAAGCATCAACTCATCTTTGGTCTTCCCTTTTCCTTGTTCAGTTTTCACATGCATATGAAGCAATTGAAAATACCATGACTTGGGTTAGGTGCCCCTTAGTCTTCAAAGAGACATCTTTGCTCTTTAGCACTTTAAAGAGGTCTTTTGCAGTAGATGTTCCCTGTGTGATACGGTGTCTGATTTCATGACTGTTGCATCCAATGATGTTGATTGTGAATCTAAGTAATATGAAGTCTTTGACAACTTCAATCTTTTCTCCATTTATTGTGATGCTGTTTATTGGTCCAGTTGTGAAGATTTTTGTTTCTTTTATGTTGAAGTGTAATCCATATTGCAGACTGCAGCCTTGAATCTTCATCAGTGCTTCAAGCCATCTTTGTTTTCAGCAAGCAAAGTTGTGTCATCTGCATACAGCTGATTGTTAATGAGTCTTCCTCCAAGCCTACTGCCACACTCTTCCTCATATAGTCTTGCTTCTTGGATTATTTGCTCAGGAAACAGAGTGAATGTTATTGTTGTTGTTCTGTGCCGTCGAGTCAGACCCGACTCACAGCGACCCCTCCTTGGTTTTCCGAGCCAATATCACTACAGAAGCACATTACCCAACCTTCTTTCTGAGGAGTGGCTGGTGGATGTGAACTGCCAGCCCTCTGGTTAGCAGTCAAGTGTCTTAAGCACTATGCTACCAGAGCTCCCAAACAGACTAAATAGGTATGTGAAAGGATACAATGCTGTTGCCCTCCCTTTCTGATTTTAGACAATGCAGTATCCCCTTGTTCTGTTTGAACGACAGCCTCCTGGTCTATGTACAGGTTCCTCATGAGCACAATTAAGTGTTCTGGAATTCACATTTCTCTCAGTGTTTTCCATAATTTGTTATGATCCACACAGCTGGATGCTTTTGCACAGTCAATAAAACACAAGTAAATATATTTCTGGTATTCGTTGTTTTCAGCCAAGATCCATCTAACACCAGCAATGACATCCCTTGTTCCACATCCTCTTCTGAATCCAGCTTGCATTCCTGGAAGTTCCCTGTCAATATACTCCTGCAAACATTTTTTAATTATCTTCAGCAAGATTTTTCTTGCATGTGATATTAATGATATTGTTTGATAATTTCCACATCCTGTGGGGTCACTTTTCTTTGGAATGAGTACAAATATGGATCTCTTCCAGTTGGTAAGTCAGGTAGCCATCTTCCAAATTTTTTGTCACTGACGAGTAAGTGCTTCAAGAGCAGCATCCATTTGTTGAAACATCTCAATGGGTATTCCATCAATCCCTGGAGTCTTGTTTTATGCCACTTCCTTCATTGCAGCTTTGACTTCTTCCTTCAATACCATTAGTCTTGATCATATGCCACCTCTTGAAATTGATGAATATCAACCGATTCTTTTTGGTACAGTGACTGTGTATTCCTTCCATCTTCTTTTGACGTTTCCTGCATCTTTAGTATTTTGTCTGTAGAATCATTCAATAGCGCAAATTGAGGCTTGATTTTTTCTTCAGTTCTTTCAGCTTGAGAAATGCTGAATGTGTTGTTCCCTTTTGGTTTTCTAACTCTAGGTCTTCGCACATTTCATTATAATAATTGACTTTGTCTTCTCAAGCTGCTCTCTGAAATCTGTTCAGCTCTTTTACCTCGACATTTCTTCCATTTGCTTTAGGTATTCTCTATTCAAGAGCAAGTTTCAGAGTTTCTTCAGACATCCATTTTGGTGTTTTTTTTTTTTTTTTTCTTTCCCTTTGTACCTTTTTAATCACCATTCACTTTCTTCATGGATGATGTTCTTGATGTCAACCCACAATTCATTTGGTTTTTGGGCACTGGTGTTTCAAATCTATTCTTTAGATGCTCTCTAAACTCAGGTGTGATATAATCAAGGTCATATTTTGGATCTTGTGGACTTTTACAATTGGCTTCAGCTTCAACTGGAACTTGCATATGAGCACTTGATGGTCTATTTTGGCTGAAGATATTGAGCTTCTCCATTGCTTCATTCTACAATGCAGCCAGTCTGATTCCTGTGTATTCCATCTGGTGAAGAGCCACTGTTTATGTTGCTGAAAACAGGTATTTACAATGAATATGTCGTTGGCTTTGAAACATCCTATCATGTGATCTCCAGTGGCATTTCTGTCATCAAGGCCATATTTTTCAACTACCAGTGTTTCTTCTTTGTTTCCAACTTTCACATTCCAATCACCAATTATAATCAACATACCTGGATTGCATGTCTGGTCAATTTCAGATTGCAGAAGATGGTAAAAATCTTCACTTTCCTCATTTTTGGCTTTGGTGGTTGGTGTGTAGATTTGAATAATAGTAGTACTAAGTGGTTCTCCTTGTAGGCATATGGACATTATCCTATCACCGACAGCACTGTATTTCTGGATCGATCTTAAACATTCTTTGTGGTGATGAATATCACACCATTGCTCTTCAATTTGAAATTCCTTGCATAGTAGATCATATGTTTGTTTGATTCAAAATGGCCAAAAAACAGTCCATTTCAGCTCACTAACACCTAGGATGTGGATCTTTATGTGTTCCATTTCATTTTTGACAACTTCTAATTTTCCTAGACCCATACTTTATATATTCCATGTTTCATTGATTAATGGATGTTTGCAGCAATTTCTTCCCATGGTGAGTCATGTCACATCAGCAAACAGAGGTTCTGAAAGCTCTGCTCCATCCACATGATTAAGGATACTGCTACTTTCATGAGGCAGCTCTTCTCCAGTTGTACTTTGAGTGCCTTCCCAACAGATGGGCTCATCTTTTAGCACTTTGTCATACAATATTTCACTGCTATTCATCAAGTTCTCAAGCAATATATCAGACAGTGTTTCACTGCTATTTGAAAGTTTTCAGTGGCCAATTTTTCAGAAGTGTATGGCCCCATCCTTCTTCCCAGTCTGTCTTAGTCTGGAAGCACCACTGAAACCTGTCCGCCACAGGTTACCCTGCTGGTGCTTGAAATGCCAGTGGTATAGCTTCCAACTGCACAGCCACATGCAAGCCACCACAGTATGACAAACTGACAGATGACTGGTGGTAGCAGCAAACAGTTTAAAAATTATTTCCTTTATCATTTCTCACCATTAGGGACAACCATCCAGGCACCTATCCATTGTTCAACTCCAGCTAACCATCTACCTATTTCTCTTACCCCATATTACCACTCTCACCCCAAGCATCAATTTTGTTAAGTGGCTTAAATCTTTTTATAAAGAAATAAAAATTGAACTGACAATGAAGTAATAAAGAAGAGGTTAAGAATAAATGTTTGGGGAACTTTTTTGCAAGGATCTCTTTAAGACTAGAAACCATTTCAAAAGTATTAGACTATAGTTTTAAACAGTAAATGACAGCATATAAGATCTGATATTATCCAAGTGACTGAGCATTTATGTTTTCATACCTGCTCACTATTTTTCAGAGATACAATGAAGCTATGGCTGAGAGTTTCCAGGTGGGCAAGTGATCTCTCCAGATGAGTCAAAGTATCTGCATAGGTTACTTTAGAATCACCAGGTTCTTGAATGTCTCCTTCTGAATTTCTTTTCCTTGGCTTCTCAATAAAATGCTTGACTGTTTTAATAGCTTTTCTAGTCATCTCTGTACGTGCTTCCACAGATAGCTTAAGAAAAAAAAAAAAGATATTAACAGCTAGATAAATGGAAATTTAATATAT